GTACTAGATCACCCCTATTGCTGACATTCATATCTTGTATGTGACTTCTAACAGGACTGAAGATTTCTGCATTAGGGTTTAGCAGCGGGGTCTGGATGGGGCTTTCTGTTGTCTTAGACTGATTAGGTCGATGGCTAATATATCTTCCTTGTTTAAAAGACAGTAAATCATTCTTTAATGTATTTAATTCGCTTTGAAATTTACTAATGTTTTCCATTTGTGTACTCTGGCTTTCTCTCAACTGTTCGAGACTTTCTTCTTGTTTATTTTCTTTCTCCTCCAGCCACTGCTATAGTCTCTTTTATTGTTCATTTTCTTTCTCCTCCAACAACTGCTGTAGTCTCTCTTCTTGTTTCTTTTTTTTTCTCCTCCAACCACTGCTGTAATCTCTCTTGTTTATTTTGCTGTTTGAGCTGCCATTGTTGCAGGTTTTCTTGCCACTGCTGTAATATTTCTTGTTTCTTTTCTTTTTCTTCCAACAACTGTTGTAATCTTTCTTCTTGTTACTTTTATTTTTCCTTCCAACAAGTGTTGTAATCTCTCTTCTTGTTTCTTTTCTTTTTCTTCCAACAACTGCTGTAATCTCTCATGTTTATTTTCTCATTCTTTTTGTTTCATTTCTTTTTCCTCCAACAGCTGCTGTAATCTCTCTTCTTGTTTCTTTTGCTGTTCTTGTATTGCTGCCATCAAATCTGCTAAGCTGTAGTTTGATTTGCCACTTCTCGTTTCCTTTTTTTTTCTTATCCCACTTCTGACACCAATTTGTTATGTCTCTGGTCGTTTGTTAATTTCCCGTATAATTCTTTCTGATGAAACTTTAGCAATACAAGTCATTACTTAAATAACACTAGTTTATTCTTTCTCAATATAACTTTGCAATACACTTAATTTCCACAGTCACTTTAACTTAACACACGCTATAATTCACAACGATTCACGCACTTACAGTCACTACCACACTTGTCTCAATTGTCCGTCTCTGTCTTTGCCTGTGTGCAATTATCTATGCTGTCACTTCTTGCCAGTCTTATATATATACAAAATAGAAGGCGTCTGGCAAACACTCGAGCCTTCATGAACCTTCTAGATACTCATTAGGTGTTACCAGCGTCACGTGACTTCCACTGTTGTAACACTGTTTTATTCCTTACCTATTTTTCAGCTTCATATTACCCTATCGAAACTCCTACAGGTAATGTTTACCTTACACCTCATTTCTTAGATGTTCCACTTACATTTAAGGATTTTCGTGGGATACCTCCACCTTCCCTCCATGGTATTTGCTATCTTCTGGTTTTTCTTTCCACACGTGGCTTCTTTGCTTTTGGGATATTCTAGGATGGAACACTGCTGTTTACCATCCACTGATCATAGGGATTTACAGTCCATTTTTTGGGTGACTCCTGTACATTTAACGTCACGTTCTGTGATGCTATATTCAATTATGTGTTGGTTGCTCTTTTGTTATATTCTGAGATATTGTCATCTTTATTCATTTTACATGTCCAGCACCTTCCCATCCTTCACATGGCCTACCTACGGGTTTTCACCATTCGTCGTGTATGCTTATGTTGATTGGAGTTCTGGATCAATCAGTCCCACCTCAATCGCTTCTTGGATCTTCCCCATTTTTATATGTGGTTTTGATCACATTTGGGTAAGCTATTTCTGCATGACTGAGAATGCCCATAGTACACATTCCTATTTTCCATTTCTCGGGATGTTATCTTGGTTTTTTCACCACGTGATTTGGTACTAGTTTCATGCCTTGCCCTTTGGACTTGATTTGGTTCGATACTTCTTTTTTTTGGGTGGTCTGCATTTTACCCGACTTCCACATTTTGGAAGAGTTTACCTACACCATTCATTGGATGTATAGCTTCCATTAGCTCCTTCTAAATGGGGTTAGTCTTAATGTACTCATTTACTCTTTCCACAGTCAGCTCAGGTACTTGGATTTTCCAGTTGGATAAGTTTTCTGCTACATGCATCACATTCTATCCCTTTGGGTGGGTGTATTTTAACCCCCCTCCCTCCATCGGGACTATCCATTCTCCTCCACGAATGCATTCGAAGGACTTTTCTGTTATCTGAGCCTTTACTTTGGGTTTCCTCTTAATTTTCATCCTCCCCTTTTCGTCTATATGCGTTGATAGCTGTGCATATGCCCCATGACGTCGGGTTTACCACGTCCTCCCCTTTTTCTAGATTGTTTCTATTCCCTGATACTTATCTCCAAAGGTGAGGGGCGTGATTTGCTCAGTAGGAGGCTTCAAGACAATGGTCTATAGATGAAAGGTCTTATTCCCTTCACACCTGGGCAGTTACACCAGTCCATGGTGTTTTAGTTCACTCTATTCCTCTTGTCCAGGTTTGACTAATCCTGTTTCACTTCGACTTTTTGACAGTGGTGACTTATATCAATCACCAAGGGTACCCTCATATTTGTTCCCATTGTTGTAAGCAGTGGATTTCCATTTTTGAACCCATACACTAGACATAAATCTCCTGGAGGGTCTGTGCCAGTTGCTTTGTACTCGTTGCTAAGTGACTTTCCAATCCCAACACCCTTTCTTCCTAGGATTAACCTCTCGATTCTCCTAATTTTTCGTTGCTCTCTCTCCTGTAAGGTACGACTCCACATGAAGTTTTTGAATATTTTATCACTTCCAAGCTACTTACCTCTTTTATTTTTGGTCTGGTTCATCATCCACTTCTCCTGGCTGTTAAGTTCAGACAGGTTTAAACCCAGTTTATAACATTAGTTTTTTTCATTCCATCAGTCATCTTCCCAAATTTTTGTTCATCAGTGTTACTCCAGTTCAGGTCTTTGTGACTGATCTTTTCTGGTCGGCACAGCTTTGATTTTCTTGGCTGTTTCGGCTCCATTTGTTTCTGTTGTTCTGGGTCAATTTTATTAACCTACATTTTAGTAGCCTATGTGGTATATTTCATTCACCTTTTTCATTTCTTACAATCTTCCACATTTCTTCTTGGTCCATTGCAGATTGCCTTGCCAGTCCAGTATCTGCTTTGGGTTGCTTCATTGTTTTCAATGTTTTCCCCATTGTATCCATTTCCTTACTCCACTACTTTGTGATTTTTTTCCCTTCCTCCCTGACCCATTAGGTTTGGATTATGATTTGATTGGCCTTTTCTTCCTTGTATCCTTTTTCCTGTCATCAGTTCCTGGTGTCTTTACTTGACTCACTATGTATGGTCCATCATGCCCTAGACGCTACACCTAGGGGCACATCCTTTTCATCTTACTCACTTGTTTTCTGGCATTGAGTTTAATAAATATTGTATGGTTTAGATCCCTATCCTGCCATAGTTCTTTCCCACAGGGATGTGCTCTTCCATCTTTTCATCCATTCATATGAAAAAAGGGTGAAGAGTATACCTGGTACAGAAGTGGTGTGGTCTTTTATGTATGATCTTCTAATAAGAGGATCTACTCTTTGGAGGTGTCCTATGGACACTTTCGAAGGATGCTTCTTTCTTTCCCTTGCACTGGTCACTCCAGCTTTTTAATGTGGGATTCTAGCTATTTATGTGAGAGGAAGCAATGTACCATATTGGAAGTAATAATTTTCCTGTACTGAAAATGTATTTCTAATAGGTACTCACCTCCCCCACACTTTCTCCCCACTGAAAAACAGTTCTTCCATTTTCTAACAAAACTCAAAGTGGTAGTTCGTTAGAATTGAATAGAGGGAGTCATATGCATCAAGAGAGTGTTGCACTCTAATTTGTGGAGGGTTTTTGCATGATGATTTGCATTTGAGGCACATTTGAAGCAGTCAATTCAAATATGGATGGGAGCTTCAAGGCTTGTGGCATGCAAAAACATTTGTAAGTACCTATCAGAAATACATTTTCAGTATAGGAAAATTATAACTTTGACTGCCGTGACTTTCCTGTCATTATCCTGTTCAATTAGCATCCTCCATGTTGAATTCAAAACACAAAGGTCAAGAGATAAAAGGATATTACCAGACTGTTCACAAAAGAACCTAAAAATATGTATTTCCAAGCTGATTATACAGTTGGACACAACTTGTGGAGTAGTTCTATGGAACCTACATTGCACCTCTAAAATGACAATTTTTTAAAAGACTTTGTAGAGGTTGGTAGTTATCTGTAGAGTGTATGCTTTCGGATCAGAACCTTTCTCTCCTCAATACTAGTTCTTCTACTTATTTTTATGCACCTAGTCAGTCTTTTACTGCCATTGATTTATCTATCTGCTTCCCTTCACTTTTCTTGGAGGGTTGACAGTGACCCATGGGACAGTGATCATTTTCCTATTTTTTTGAAGGAGATTGCCCATGGTCAATGCCACCCGACCCGAGTGCCACAGTACAAGTTGAACCAGGTCGACTGGCTCTCTCTCAGAACTTGATCCTTCTGTTGTAAGTCTTCTACCTATAAAACAATTGTGCTGAGGCAGTAGCTGATTGGTTCATTCAAGCAGCTGTTCATTCTATACCTCGTATCCTTGTCCATGATGGTCTCCAGCCTTCCAGCAGGCACGAAAGGCTCAGAAACAGGCCTGGGATATTTTTTGCAGGTATCCCACTCTTTCCGACCACATTACTTTCCAGTGGGCCCATGCCCATGCTCAGCAGATCAGATGTCAAAGCCAAAAGGAATCTTGGATTAAGTTTACAACCAGCATCTCTTCTACTACCAGTTCCAAAATCATATGGGATACAATTTGGAAGGTCAATGGCAGGTATATTTCCCATCCCCTTTCCATCTTGCTCTCCAATGGCCAGGAAGTTGCTGATGTACAGAACATCATCAGTACTCTCGGTGAGAGCTTTTATCGTCCATCCAGCACTTCTGTTTCTTCCCCAGCCTTCTTGGCCATCAAGTCTCGGGCAGAGGAATCACCTCTTTCCTTTCGGGGCGATCGTCTCCATGACTATAATTGCTCCCATACACTGGTGGATCTCAAACTTGCTCTTCATTGGTCTGGCAGAACATTTATTGGTCCTGATTATGTTCACCATGAGATGCTGCCCCATCTCTCTTGCTATTCTTTTGGTTGTTTTTAACTGGATCTGGCAGGAGAACATTTTTCCTGATGCTTGATGCCAGGCTGTTGTCCTCCCTTTCTCTAAGCCTGGGAAGAATCCTAAGATTCTTCTAATTATCATCCAATTGTCTTGACTAGCTGTCTCTGTAAGGTCTTAGGGAGGATGATTAATGCCCATCTTGTTTGGTTCCATAAATCAAACAACATTGAGAAGGCCTATGACACTACGTGGAGGTATGGCATTCCGAGTCCGTTTGGGTTTGACACTTTCCTGTTCTTTCACACAGGAACTTGGAGTCCCTCAGGGCTGTCTTGAGTGTCACATATTTCAGTATCAAGGTAAATGCTATCACTCACAATTTCCTCCTACTGTTGCTAATGGACTCTGTCGACGACTTCTACATCTCGTGTAGTTATTCGAACATGAGGTTTATTGAGTGGCAGTTTCAAAATGCTCTCAATTGCTTGTTGAAGTTGACCACAGCAAACGGTTTTACCTTTTCTTTTTCCAAACTGTTTGCATGCATTTTTTGCCACCAACGGGGCTACACTCTGATCCCGAGCTCCATCTCTGTGATGTTGTTCTTCCCATGGACCTTGAGGCAAAGTTCTTAGGGCCTATCCTTGACCATAAGCTTACTTTCATTCCTCACATGAGGCAGCTATATGTCAAGTGTACAAGGGCACTGAACATCCTTCATGTCCTCTCTTCCACCTCTTTGGGAGGGGATCGATGTTCTGTGCTCAAGATCTATTGTGCCCTTATTCGATCTAGACTGGACTTATGGTTCTGCCAGGACCTCAACCTTGAAGATGCCGGACCCCATTCACCATCTGGAGCTTTGGCTCTGCTTGGTAGCTTTCCACACTTCTCTAGTCCAGAGTTTGTACACCAAGTCCCACAAACCTCCTCTTCACCTCTGCCATTTGCAACTTTCTCTACAGTATGCTACCAAGCTTCAATCCTTATCACAGCATCCTACCTGGGATTTTGTCTTCCTTCCTCGGTGGGCTGTGCTCTTTCAGAACAGATGGTTTGCAATTCCAATCTTTGGCCTTCGTATCCAGGCACATCTAGCAGAATTGGGTCTAGCATTGGATAATGTTGCTGTCCCCAATGATCAGCCCATTTCACCATGGCTTATTACCATCCCCAAATGTGACCTTTCCTTGAGTCATTTGAAAAAGGTGGATACTCCTGATTGGAAGTACCATTTTCTCTTTGCTGAACATCTTTTGAACTATTCTTCTATTCCCATTTATACTGATGATTTGAAATCAGGTGATTCTGTGGGCTCTGCCATCGTTTGCTGTGGCTTGGTAGTTGCTCATAGGATCCCTTCTACATTTTCTATGTTCACTTCTGAGTTGTATACCATTTCTCTTGCCCAGGATCATGTAGAAACTATGCAATACAGCAATTGTACTATTTACACAGACTCTTAGCTCTCTACTGGCCTCGAAATTGCTCAACATTAGTTTTAATCCTGTTCTCATCAATATTCAACAATGACTGGCCCATTTTTCTCTATCTTCTATGTTGGTATTCGTTGGAACAAGCTCACTGACACTGCAGCTAAGTCTGTCTGCTCTGCTGCTGTCACAGCCGTGTGTATCCTGTATATGGACTATGGTCCTGTGTTGAAGGCTTGGCTTCATGCCAGTTGGCAGTCAACTTGGTGTGAGAAACATCATTACAAGCTTTTCCAGATCAAACCTTTTGTTCTTTAGCCATCTTGTTTCTGGAAGGAGGAAGACCTGGCTAGGCTATGCATTGGTCACAGTTTTTTTTAACCCATTGTTTTCTTTTATCTGGAACTAATCCACCAATGTGTGGCCTTTATGACACTGAAGTCACAATAGCCCACGTTTTACTTTTGTGCCATTGTTACAACTATGAGTGATGACACCATTTTAGATGCACCTTTTCTACAGGTTTACTCCTGACATTGGACAGTATCATTGACAATGGTGACACTGTCCAACCTAAATGTGCTTTTAACTTTTTATGAGCCATTGGGCTTTTTAATTCTGTTTGAGTCTTATGTTTTTAACTCTGTTTATTTTTACTTTTTTTACCGGTTGTTTGGCACAGAGAGCCTAGTTGCTTTGTGCTAGAAAATGCCAACCAACCAACTAACCTAGATCCAGGTCACCACACCAGATGATAACAGTAAGGAGTTCCTAGATCCTGGTTATGACACCAGACGATCACAGATTTCCTGGATTCTGGTCACAGGACCAGACATGGCAGAAAAGTCAGATTCCATCACTAAAACTGTGAGGCAATAAAAACATGGAGTCATGACAGCAAAGTTTTAGTTGTGTTATTGTTTTGTTATATATAAGCTAGAGAAATGTTTTAAATTACTTTGAGAAGTAACTAAGGGGTATTTTTAAGAGAATAGTAGATTATTTTAATCAAGTAAAGATTTTCATGACATTTGTTAAATTATTTAGTGCTTATAATTACTTTAAGTAACTGATTTTTCCTAATTACAGAAAGCAAGAGAGAGAGAGAGAGAGAGAGAAAGAGATGGATGGAGATTTGTACACATCTTGACTTTATGAGGTCAGAAAGATGAGACAGCAACAACAAAGGACAAAGGTTACTGACCATCGACACTAGCCTCAGAACAATACTCTTTCAATTTATTATTCAGTGAAGCATATGCAAGAAAATCAATTCTATAACAAAAGAAGAATATAACTAGAATGCAGCACTGGACAGAACCAGTGGAAACCATCGTTTATGAATGCCTTACTGCAGATGTAACATTTCATGCATAGTAACTGTACAACTGTTCAAACAAAACAAAAAATACCAAAATGTTTATTATATTATTAAGTTGTGTTAGTAGGAAATTACATTAGTATTTCATTGATTTAGCGATGACTTTACTTACTTGTTAACTTGTAGATGAGTTGAAATTCTTTCTGTATTGGTTTTACTGGTTTAAAGAACATTAGTTGTAATGTAAGTTGAATGTTATAAAGTGTGTTTTTAGCCTTGACATATTAACAGAATTGAGGGAAAGCATGAAGTAACAATCTTAGGAGGTCTGAATGAGTTCTGTGTAAAGTTCTATGGACCTAAAGGAAGTAAGTAATAACTAAATTAAGAAAATTTAGGTTATGTAATATTTCAATATGCTTTTAATTAATAAATTTATTTAAAGAAATTGTATGTTTAATAAATAAAACTCCTTTTTGTATGCACTATCATTATAAATATACTAAACCTTTAGATTGGACTTGCCAATAATTATAAGCAAATAAACAAAACTCTGGGATATTTGTAAATTTTGGCTTTTATTAATTAGTGGTAGTTTAGTGCTTCTCTTCTGGACAAACTTGATAATAATTCATTTTATTGCCACTAGGTTTTGGACTAATTCCTGGAGTCTTTGAAGAGTATGATAATAATTATCTTACTTATAACTAGCTTTTGACTCCTTTTTTTAGGCTTTAGATGGTCTTGTTACTATAAATATTAAGCCTGCTGTACATTCTTTTAGGGAGCTGCTCAAAACATTCATTATTTATAGAGAGAATAGATCATAAATTTCATCTAATTTTAAAATAATCTTGTGTCATGTATCTCAAATTGGATTTAACATTGTTTCCATTAAACGTTCATAAAACAAACTAACTATTTATGCTCTATGAAGAAAAAGGTTGATTAGCACAATTTCAATATCTACAAATCTTTCTCATGGCCATAGCTAGATCAATGATCTAGAATGTTGGATATACAAGACTGTTTAGTGTAAGAGCATTATTTAGTGATTTAATATTTATTTAGTTTTCATAACAAGTGTTAAAAATTAATTGTTTTAAAAGCAATAGTTGTGACAAGTTTTGCTACATAACTGTATGAGTCGTACGTTGTGTATTTAGTTTGATTGTTTTACAAGCCTTTGTTATATTGTTGACATGATCTTACTCGAACCTTCCAGAAGTTTTTCTCGTTATGTGTTGTTACTAGAGGGCTAGATATTTCTAGATTTTTTCTGTCTCGTGTTATAAATACCTGCAGATACAGAAGTCATAAAAATTTAAGTAAGTGAAAGTGAAGTTAATTGGGTGATTGTTAGTTTAGCCATAATGGTCAATATCTAACGTGAGTTTTGTAACAACAGAGATTACTAATAATAATTTTTCTTCTCAAGGGGTGTTCTAAAGTTATTGAACCCACCTGTATGGACTTTCACAAGAAAGAATTATTTAAAGCTTTAGATGCAACTGTGATAACCAACAATGTAAAGAATTTTTGTACATATGTTTGACTTATTTTGAATATATTATTTTAAAATAAATGGATTGTATGCTGTCTCTTTATTGTTCAAATTCATCACCACCAAGTCACAGACACCGACTGTAAAGAATTCAGCCTTCATAAAACTGACATATTGGCCAAGTATATATTGATATTATTATTAGGCTTGTTAGAATATTCATTTCAAATATATGATTTATAATTACACTTTACTACTTCAGCTTTCTAATCCTTTACCTAATTGACAGCTACATCTTCTTACAGCTCAGTATATCTTTAGATGTTTTTCTAATTAACAACTACAGTTTCTTCTGATAGTAATTAACAATTACAGTTTCTTCTTACAGCCAGTGATAGAAATGGGGGTACACACGTGTACATGCCATGTACCTAGTTCTCAGTTTGCATTTTTTCCACATTGGTTAAGTTTAATACCATTGAAGATGTTTATTAACCCTATCATCACTGGTCAAAGGCCATGTCATCGCATTTGTTGACTTACATTCAAAATTTTATTGAACTAATATTTAATGAATTTGTAATAAGTTTGGTATGAAATTATAGACTATAATTCAAATTTTAGTATTATACATTAGTT